TGTATATTTATTATATATAAATTGATATATAATTATATATAAAAAGCACTTTATCTAATTATGTATGGACATATTTCATATACAATAATTTTGCGATGATATATGTATATAATTTTATATATATTTCTATATAATTTGATAATATAAAAATGTTTTGTATTACACGTGCAGGCAAAGTGGCACTTTGTGTCCGTGTTTTTTGTGCGGAAAGCGGCCGATTTCCCACGCCGCCATCTAGCGGCGACGCGGTGAGTAAATAAGCCGCGTTCAAAGCCATTGCCTACGGCTGAGCCGCGTTCAAAGTCATTGCCCACGGCTAAAACCGTGGGCAATACATTGCCCACGGCTTCAGCCGTGGACAATAACTTTGAACAGGGTTATTCCCGTAATCGGCTGACAATGAGAGATTCGCGACGGAATAGTATATTGTGTATCAAGTGCGGAAAGTTGACAATTGTTCACTCGCCTTCAACTCGTGCGTCCACCCGCACTTAATACACAATATACTATTCCGTCGCGAATCTCTCATTGTCAGCCGATTACGTCTTACTCGTGTACCCCGAGACGCGAACACACGCGAGATATCCCCGAGTATTAATATCGGACGAAAATCCCTCGACGGACGTTTCTCGCGTTCTCTCTCGTCGCGCTTAGAAGGGGTTAAGGCGAGTCGGGACGGAAAGGGGTGGAGGGCGCGACGAAAGCGCGAGACAAATTACAGAATCCGAGGGAGGGCTTTGTAAAGAGACGCGAAACGCCCAGACCGCGGAACGCCGTAACGAGAGAGAGAGAGAAGCGGCGGAAAAGGGATTCCTGGGCGAAAGCGCGGCGGAATTTCGCGGCGCGACTCGCCGCCATCCACAGGGAGTCTCTGATCTCCCTCTTTCCCCACGACCGCCCGAGAGGATTACACAATGAAATATATATTTCCCCGTTCTCTCTTTCTCCGTGTATCTCCGCTAAATATAAAGCTCCGTGCGCGAGAGACCCGAGAGAAATCTCAAAAAACAACGCACTCGAAAGAGATCTCTCTCCCATTAGGTCAATCCTGTCTCCTACCTCTAATCTTTCTCACCTCGGCAAAGAGAAGGATGGTATTATTGATCGGGAGATCACTCGATAATGTTACTTAAAAGCTTTTTAAGCGGACGAATAAAGCGAGCTCCGCTATTTTCTCGAGAAAAGTGAGCTCTCGCCGGAGTTCAATTGGATTCCTCGCTCTCTCTCTCTCGACCACCGAAGAGACCGGGATAATTTATGCGATCCTCCGCGAGAATCTCTCCGGAGAGTCCGCAGCCATTTGAGCCCTTCTGCTCTTCGACCTAAACCGGAATGTCAACCGCGATCTAACATCAAACACAGCAGATCGCACTCGGGATTCTTGGAATTTGGAATCGTCTTTGCGAAACGCGATCCAAGAATTTTTATCAAGTTTCTACGTAAATTGGTATCCGCCTTAAATTGAAATCAGATCAAATATTATCTTGTTAATTAAACATATATCAAAATATTTAAATTAAATATAACGTATTAAATCTAACAAAACGTATATTTGACTTAAATACTAAATATATGTTCAATTAACAAAATAGTAATTTAATTAAAAGGTTTGGTCCAAGTTAACACATTTTTTTCGGTGTATTATATCGATATAATGCTTCGTCTTGTAACTTGATGCTTTTGTTACCATTTTGATATTTTTCAATATTATATATACGCATACGCAATATTTATAGAAATAATAAAATTCGCGTTTCAAATGAATGCGCACGTACTATATACCGATGGATTTTTCATAAAAATGGATAAAGCCCCGGATGTGACGCGTTCGAGATATCGGACAAAAGAGAGGAAAACAAAACACAATTACATTCCAATTAACGTCGGAAATCGAAATGGCTCCGAGATGTCCATCTCTCCGCGATGTATCGCTGACAGTCGTCGAACACGAAACTTAACGAAACCAGCAAATTGGAAATTTTTCATCCGCGAATTTACTCGTCGGGATATACTCGCGACACGACCTTTTTGCGTCAATTTTCCATTTCGATGCGAGAATACGATATCACATTATATGTAAAATTGTAACTCTTTAATGTTATAACGTCATCGATAGAGATGTGAAATAATAATTCCAGTATAATTTAATCAACGATATTCTTTAACCACAATTGTCACATTTTAATTTATAAAATATTTTTATATATAATATCATATATAAAATATATAAAAAAAAATATTATAATATATATATAGAGTGTCCTAAACCATCGAATAGTCTTTTAAGAACAAATTTTCTGGCTAATTTAAAAATAATTTTTCCTTAATAAAAATGTTGACGCATCAACATAATTTCCGAGTTATAAGAAGCGATTGGAAGAAAAAGGCTTTTCGCAAACAAAATTTTGTGGATTTTAAATCAGTTCATTTTAGCGGCATATTTAATATGCATTTGCAAAGTACGCTTTTTCTTTCTACGGGCGTAAATTGCACTCACACAGACGGTGCTTTAGTTATGGTAATTATCATAAACGACTGCGCGTTCTTCTTTTGAGAGCGAGAAACTCGGGCGCAATTCTTTTTACGGCCGCTCGAAAAAAAAAGAACGATGATACTGAGCTAATGGTGTCGCGGGTCAAAAACCATTAGAGCTTGTGTGCGATGCACGTGTCAGACATGTGTGTGAACTGTGTAACTCTTAAATGCATCTCGTTGCAGAAGTTACAACGTTTTCATTCTGTCAAGTAATTGCAAACTAAATGCGGCACAAATTTTGCAACGTAAGTTTCATTTATAAATTTCTCATTGTAATTTCTGAGGTTCATTTTATAAAATTCATACAGGGATCGTTAATTTTGTGTTTCTACTATAAGATATTTAAATTACAATAAAAATCCTTCATTTACCTGACTTTGTTTGAGTCGAAATCTCTTTCATTAATAATGTTTAATGCAAAAATTAATAAAGAAAAAAAATACACGCGGCTATTTTTGTTAGCAATTACCATAAATTAGGCAGCTGTATGTTAATTAATGAATGATATATTTGACGTTTCATTTATAAATTTCTAATTGTAATTTCTGAAATTCATTTTATAAAATTCATACAGGGATCGTTAATTTTGTGTTTCTACTATAAGATATTTAAATTACAATAAAAATCCTTCATTGACCTGACTTTGAGTCGAAATCTCTTTCATTAATAACGTTCAATGCAAAAATTAATAAAGAAAAAAAATACACGCGGCTATTTTTGTTAGCAATTACCATAAATTAGGCAGCTGTATTTTAATTAATGAATAATATATTTGACGTTTCATTTATAAATTTCTAATTGTAATTTCTGAAATTCATTTTATAAAATTCATACAGGGATCGTTAATTTTGTGTTTCTACTATGATATTTAAATTACAATAAAAATCCTTCATTGACCTGACTTTGAGTCGAAATCTCTTTCATTAATAACGTTTAATGCAAAAATTAATAAAGAAAAAAAATACACGTGGCTATTTTTGTTAGCAATTACCATAAATTAGGCAGCTGTATTTTAATTAATGAATAATATATTTGACGTTTCATTTATAAATTTCTAATTGTAATTTCTGAAATTTATTTTATAAAATTCATACAGGGATCGTTAATTTTTTGTTTCTACTATAAGATATTTAAATTACAATAAAAATCCTTCATTGACCTGACTTTGAGTCGAAATCTCTTTCATTAATAACGTTTAATGCAAAAATTAATAAAGAAAAAAAATACACGCGGCTATTTTTGTTAGCAATTACCATAAATTAGGCAGCTGTATTTTAATTAATGAATAATATATTTGACGTTTCATTTATAAATTTCTAATTGTAATTTCTGAAATTCATTTTATAAAATTCATACAGGGATCGTTAATTTTGTGTTTCTACTATAAGATATTTAAATTACAATAAAAATCCTTTATTGACCTGACTTTGAGTCGAAATCTCTTTCATTAATAATGTTTAATGCAAAAATTAATAAAGAAAAAAAATACACGCGGCTATTTTTGTCAGCAATTACCATAAATTAGGCAGCTGTATTTTAATTAATGAATAATATATTTGACGTTTCATTTATAAATTTCTAATTGTAATTTCTGAAATCTATTTTATAAAATTCATACAGGGATCGTTAATTTTGTGTTTCTACTATAAGATATTTAAATTACAATAAAAATCCTTCATTGACCTGACTTTGAGTCGAAATCTCTTTCATTAATAACGTTTAATGCAAAAATTAATAAAGAAAAAAATACACGCGGCTATTTTTGTTAGCAATTACCATAAATTAGGCAGCTGTATTTTAATTAATGAATAATATATTTGACGTTTCATTTATAAATTTCTAATTGTAATTTCTGAAATTCATTTTATAAAATTCATACAGGGATCGTTAATTTTGTGTTTCTACTATAAGATATTTAAATTACAATAAAAATCCTTTATTGACCTGACTTTGAGTCGAAATCTCTTTCATTAATAACGTTTAATGCAAAAATTAATAAAGAAAAAAAATACACGCGGCTATTTTTGTCAGCAATTACCATAAATTAGGCAGCTGTATTTTAATTAATGAATAATATATTTGACGTTTCATTTATAAATTTCTAATTGTAATTTCTGAAAATCATTTTATAAAATTCATACAAGGATCGTTAATTTTGTGTTTCTCTACTATGATATTTAAATTACAATAAAAATCCTTCATTGACCTAACTTTGAGTCGAAATCTCTTTCATTAATAACGTTTAATGCAAAAATTAATAAAGAAAAAAAATACACGCGGCTATTTTTGTCAGCAATTACCATAAATTAGGCAGCTGTAGCTTAATTAATGAATAATATGTTTAACAAGACCGATTTGAATGCGAAATTTGAATCTCGGGTTCGAAATTCTCCCCGCTGACAATAAGCCTAATCCCAGTGTGTATGCTAATCTTATTAATTCGCGCTATCGCACATAATACATACCATGTTCTCGGTGGAAGGATGATCCTGATGTCCGGAGGGTCGATTTCCCTGCAGCAGCGCTTCGAGACTCTCGATGTATTCAATAGCATTCCGCAGTATCTCCACTTTCGGTAAACGCTGATTAGGATTGTTGCTCGTTCGTCTCTTCAGGACCTCGAAGGCCTCGTTGACCTGCGATAGAAATTGTATAATTAATCATTAATATACGCTATCGATTATTTAAATAATACACAGAGATGCGCGGAGCGTCTGTGCTTTTTTAAAGATTCTCTTATATATGAAAATATTATCTAAAAATATTGTATATATATGAAAATATTATATAAAAATAAAAACATAATATATATTATTATTTATTAATACATTCTATTTCAAAACAATTTGAGTATCAGTGAAAAATTTATTGTCTATAAGAAATCTCATGTCACTGTCTGCTTTAATCATTGATATTTTCACTGATCTAATTTAAGAGAGTTGAAGAGAATCATATATATACATTGCGCTTTTATCTATCATTCATTTTTTTAAATGTCAAACACTAGAATAAAGTTATTTCTTTTTTCTGTGTCACGTACATATGAAGAAAGAAAAAATTTTCTAAACATTCTTATTCATATAGGCACCGCGAGTGTCGAATTTCAAATGACTCCGGTGAACTTTAATATATACTCGGGCCCATTCCCGAAACATCATTCGTCATTTGAATCATCCGAAAGCGGCGCTTAGTCGCGACCGATCTACTTCGCAGATGTTTTCCTTCCGTCAGTTCGTTCTCTTTGAGGTTGTTTACTTCCAAAACACACGATTCGCGCACGGCATGTTTTAGTAATTACAGACGGGCAAAAACAGCAACGTGCGTATATATTCATAGTAAGATGAGAAATGTGATACAAATACAGACGTATGTCACATCTTCGGTATTAATGTCCCATATTATTTTAAAAACATGTAACTTTCAAAAATCATTAATTTCCCATTAGTCTTTCGAATCACATATTTTGACAAGTTTCCCTAACAGCACACATAACCCGAAGACGTTCAGAGAACATCCCGAGGATGTTCGAACGTCCTCTGGATATCCCCTGAATATTCTCTGAATATCCTCTGAATATCTTCCGGGTATGTTGTGTTATTAGGGTGTGTGTAAATATTTTTTAATTATTATATAATAATGAGAGACAATATAAATGTGAAATATATACAAGATGAAAGCCGCAACTTTGGAAAATCATTAATTTCCCATAAGTCTTTCGAATCATAAATTTTAACAAGTTTCCCTAACAGCACACATAACCCGAAGACGTTCAGAGAACATCCCGAGGATGTTCGAACGTCCTCTGGATATCCCCTGAATATTCTCTGAATATCTTCCGGATATGTTGTGCTATTAGGGTTTAGTGTAAATATTTTTTAATTATTATATGATAATGAGAGACAACATAAATGTGAAATATATACAAGATGAAAGCCGCAACTTTGGAAAATCATTAATTTCCCATAAGTTTTTTGAATCATAAATTTTAACAAGTTTCCCTAACAGCACACATAACCCGAAGACGTTCAGAGAACATCCCGAGGATGTTCGAACGTCCTCTGGATATTCCCTGAATATTCTCTGAATATCTTCCGGATATGTTGTGCTATTAGGGTTGTGTGTAAATATTTTTTAATTATTATATAATAATGAGAGACAACATAAATGTGAAATATATACAAGATGAAAGCTGCAAGTGACATTTCCGGAAGAGGAAAAAAAATGATGGCGAAAAACTGACCTTTCTCAAGCGCCGTCTCTCGCGCAAAGTGGCGGCTTTCCTGCGATCGACGGTGACCGTCTTCTTCTTGCACGCCTTGCAGGCCCACAGGAGGCATCTGCGAGGACCGTGCGGCGAGCCGGCGTCCAAAACGTGCGGATGCGGCACGTGCTCGATCGACTCGCTCTCGTTCGCCTCATTCGTCTCGCTGGTCTCGTTCGTCTCGTCGGCGTCCGCCGAGCCGGACTCTAGGTCGGCCGAAGCGTCTGCCGATATCACTGACGAGGCATCGTCCGAGTCGAGAGCGTAGCGAGACTGCAACCTGAAACATCGTCGAGATTCTTTATGTTCGTTGGACCAGAGAAAAATCGAAAAAAATAATAATTGATTTTTTTATTCGAATATTATATACTGCAATCTTTTAATGACATTAGTAGCTCGCATCTTAATTTTATTTCTAATTATATTAAATTTTATTTAAGCGATAATTTAATATAATTTAATATAATTTATCATCGTCGAGATGGTTTATGTATGTTCGTTGGACCAGAGAAAAAATTGAGAAAAAAATTAATTTTTTAATTCGAATATTATATACTGCAATCTTTTAATGACATTATTAGCTCGTATCTTAATTTAATTCCTAATTATATTAAATTTTATTTAAGCGATAATTTATTATAATATAATTTAATATAATTTAATATAATTTATTGTAATTTTATTATGCAAGTACCTTTTTTTGATAACATTATTCTACATATGTTTGTAGGTTTTTATTCCAATTTTCTTTCTACCTTTATTTCGCAACACGATGAAAAATTATATCGGGATTTTCCCATGTAAATTGTGATTTATACATCAACGTAGTTTAATATTTTGCTTTGAAGTGTCGATTTAAAGAGTATAAATAAATATGATTAATTGATCTAAATTTATAAACGTCTGTCGCAAGATGAGAAAATCTTTTTGCTTTTTCAAAGATTTCAATTTTAAAAGTTAGAAAGGAAAAAGAGACAAATATTTAAAAATGTTTATTTTTATATAAATTAATCAATGGCATAAAGATTTAAACGAAGACGGAAGAGCGAGAATAAATTATTTCGTTTATTTATTAAATCACGAACGTTTCGACCGATTTTTCGATCATCTTCAGCGTGTAAATTAACAGAAATTTCAACGTATAAATACAATATAAAAATTCTTTAACATAAATTTCCGCGTATAAATCAAATATAAAAATCACTGAAATTACATCGAGTCATTACGTCTTATAATAAAATTATTTCGTATTTTACAACGTATGATACATATTATATAATTTAGCATAAAAGTAACTTCTAGAAAACGTTGACTCACGCATCTTAGTAATCCGCCAAGAACGTGAACATTTTGAATATGCATAAAAACAGGTATCCGTATTAGTTCGATGATATTAAAAAACGTAGGATTGAAAAAAACTTACGTAAAAAATTGTACAGTAAACATAATAGTTGGTACAGTAACGTGAATCAAAGAAATGATTTGTAAAACACTGAACTTATCTTGACAAAAATTATGTACGTAATGACAGAGCAGAATCCAATGTTAAGTTTATAAGATAATACAAGTATAAATAATAATACCAAAGAACACATGTTTTTAGTTTACCTATTGATTACATCCAAATATTCGTCGGGTAAGCGCTCAGTATCTGTTTGCAAATTCAAACTATTTTTTTGTCTCTTAATATGTATCATTTCAGATATTAGTCTCTTTGTGTAAAACATTTCTCTATCCAAAACCTCAACATCTTCCCAATCAAAGCGCCTTAATAAATAAACAAAATAATTTATTCTCGCTCTTCCATCTGCGTTCAGATCCTTATGCCATTGATTAATTTATTTGAATTTTAAAGGATCTTTTTAATTTATTTTATTTTATTAATTTTTATAAACAAAATAAAAAAAGTGCAATCTTTTTTATTCTAAATTCAATATAATACAACATATAATTTCATACAATGTATATTGTACTTTATCATATTTTATTATTTTATCTATATTTCTATCTATATTTTTTGATGACTACATACGTTTTTAAAATAAATTCCAGATCTCAATTTTGCGTTTTTGAAAAAATAAAAAAGAAATATAATAGAAATACAATATTATTACACCGAACCACCGTAACACAATCGGATAGAGAGAGCACAGTCTGCGATAAATATCTGTGGATTAAAATTTTTATTTTAAAGCTACAAGAACAAACTCGATACAATTGATACCTCGTATCTGTGTGAAAAATATTTGTTTTTCGAAATAATAGCGCAGTGCAAAAAAACGCAACGTTATACGCTTTCATCTGCGAATGTATGTATTATACACACACCTATGCATACATTTTCTGCACACATGTATGAACGGGATATAAATTTCATGCGGATGTCACCGTTCCGCGGAAGACGGGCTCTGATGTCAGAGCCGCGCGCGTGACGTAAACCGACGCTGAAAGGTCCGGCATAGGCGTTTAGCGGGAGCGAACGGATTCTTGCCTTAATCATCCTTTAGTTATCGCGACGGCGGTTAATAATGGACGCAGGCGCGTAGGTCCGTCACGAGGCGGTTTCCGCGATTGGACACGTTCCAGGTGGTCCCGCGACGGTATTTTCGCGAGGAAGAGACGTTGGCCTCCTTCGTTCCTTTCGAGTGTAAAGACGAAATAAACGCGATAAACGAAGTGAAAATGGTATACGCGGTAAAGCCGTCGTCGGATTCATTGAAATGTAACGACTCCCTTTTGCTTCTCCATTGATGTATCAATCAGTAAATTATTATATATATATATATATATATATATATATATATATATATATATATATATTATATTTTTAATCATATAATTTTTTATATTTATTAATTATTTTAGTTTTATGTTTAATATTTTTCTATTATATTTAATAATTCTTTTAAACTTATAAGTTTAAAAGAAAAAAAATTATTTAAATATTTTTATACAATATCTCAATATTTAAAATTAATTGATTTTATTGAATTTTTAATAAGGATAATTTTTAACGTGGCGAGAGAGACAGAGATAAATTGGTTCTTATATAAATTAGTTATATTCTATATTATACATCAAACACTTAATTTATGGATAATTTATTACATAATTTATATATAATATAATTATTATTTATTAGTATGCACAAATATACCATTATACTAAAGCTATTATACTAACATGAAAATTACATACTGCAATTTTGCATTTCAAAACAGTAAAACCGTCATTATCGAACAAATTTGATTTGCTAATGAAAAAAAATCGATAGTATGAAGATAAACACTAAGAAGAAATATAAGGAAGTTTCGAAGAGATTATATCTTAATCTTATTGTTAATATATTACAAAAAATTGAATAAAATTGTCATATAAATAAAATTAACGCAAATGGACAATAAGAGTTTGTGATGTTAATATATTTGAAAACCTTTGTAGTAATTTGAAAGAAATTTGCAAAAGCATCGTATCTCTCTGTCGCTCTATATATTCCCTATTGAATAAAGTATTTTTGTAGCTTTAGACTGTAATAGGAATAGTAGAACAGTGGATAGATAGCAGATTAAGTGAGCATTGTAATTCAAAGTCAATCGCATGGATTTCAATTTCAATGGCGACGAAATGCCGCGAAGGAATAAAGTGGAAAAAAGAGAGAATCCCTCGAAGAGAAAACGATCAATCTTGTCACGTGGCATCTCGCGAATGAAGTGCAATTAGTCATATTTTAGAGAATATATGTGTCCATCAGCATCTGAAGCTTTTGAAAACGCTAATTCATCAAGTGTCACGTTTCTCTTGTGAAAACCTGATATATATCGAACAGAATAAAGGTATCGAATTCACTTCGACAGTACATATCGAATGCGTCAATCTTTCATATTCGAGATATATTCTGGAAATTTACTTTTTAAACTGGATCAATGAAAATATCACTGATTGAACCAATGACGTAAGATATCTATGATTTTCAGTGAAACATTCACATTTTGCTCCGCCATCTTACGTTCTTTGAGATTTCATTGAAAAAATTAATAATAATTGTATACATATTTACAAAACATAGCGTTTCTATTTACTTTGTTAGTTTTGCAGGAGACATATATTTCGAAGAAAGAGAAGTCGCTTGTTATCGATAATGAAATAAATTTTCCACGATAAGCCATGTATTTTGCGGATCAACAGAGTTCAAATGGTTTCTGCTTCGCAGAATGTACATGCGGATATGCGGGACGTTTCGTTGGGATATCTTTCATTATTTCCCCTGTGCTGAATTCGTTTCTAAAGTTACACCCACTTCATGAAGTAGCTTGTATATGTATATGTACATATATATCTACGAAGCCGAATACGCGAGCGAAACACACTATGAAGTTGCGCTGCACTGACGGAAATGGAAACCACTACAAAGGAATAAAGCTGACTTAAATCGTTAAACGGTACAGTGGAATCTCATATAATGAAATTTTATACAATTGTATTCGTAATTATAAAATAGTCGTACATACACGAGTTGTAGACATACTTGTACCGTAAAATTAATTAATTAATTTAATAGAATAGAATACATTAATCAATTAATGTATAATAGAATAAGATAACTATTTTAAATACATTTTTCTCAATTAATAGAGTATTTCAGGAGAAAAAGGCACAAATTGTAAATTTAATTGTTTTTAATATTAAATCATAATATATAATTTCAAAATTTTATATTTCATTATAATTCATTATATTAATTAATTAAATGTAATAGAATAGAATACATTTATCAATTAATGTAATAGAATAAGATAACTATTTTAAATACATTTTTCTCAATTAATAGAGTATTTCAGGAGAAAAAGGCACAAATTGTAAATTGAATTGTTTTTAACATTAAATCATAATTTCAAAATTTTATATTTTATTATAATTTATTTATATTATATAATTAATATTTTCAAAAATTATATTTTATTAAAGAATTATTAAAAAAAAATGCATCTTGAAGAAATGCGCCGCATAATTGATGGTCTTGACAACTTTATTATTTTTTATAACTCTGTTTCTGTATAGTTTTAGTATATTGACAGTTATTTATCTAATCTTTTATCTAATATTTTATGTTAAAAATTTTTTTCCACAAATAAATATTAATAACAGAACTTAATTAGCTCTTATTGCCTTTTATATGTATATTAATTTTTAAAGAGCTGTTACAAATTATATTATTATTTTTTCTTTCATTAATATCCGGTGAAACCCTCACCTGACTCGGTCACCGCGATAATTCAAGCCAGCTGACGCCGAGGCATTATTGGCGATAAGCCTCGCGCGGTCATCCGTGTCCACATGGGTGGAGATGTATCCTTCCTGCAGATACTCGGACTCCGTCGGCGCGTAGACCCGCCGATACCGATGGGGATGCGGATGATGATGATGATGGTGGTGGTGGTGGTGCAAGTGATGACGGTAACCGTCGTAGGGCGACCTGGCGGTCGCTTCGTAGGCGTAGGGCACCGCGTCCGTCACGAGGGTCATCATTTCACGGAGTTTCGTCGGGAGAAAAATTGAATTGTCACAGTACCAGGTCGCTCGAAGCGAAAACGCACCGATCGTCCACGTGTTCGACCTCGCGCGACCTCATCACGAGTGAAGTTGCCTCCTACGACGGTCTAATTTAATTGATCCAAGTTTCTCTCTCGAGCGACGTGTGTATCTTCACGTATACAATCACCGGCATCATCAGATCTTCCATCAAATCATCGCTTGGGTCCGTGAAAAATCGAGCGATTTAGGAAATACGATTTTCCTAGAGGTTAAAATGCGGATGAAGAAATTAATCGAAGATGAAGCTGACCGATGTCGAAGTCGCGACAGCGTTTTCTTTTCTCTATCCCATTTAGCCGTCGTTTCTTTTCCGGGAAAGAATAACGAATCGCTGGTCTCAGCAAGAACGCGGTCGCGTTTTCGCGATATATATTCGTTAACTCCTCTTCCTTCAACTCGCTCATTAACTTTGTTCCGACTCGGTCCCGGCAGGTTTTGTTCCAGAGACGGTGAAATCTTCCGCTCCGATTCGCTAAAACCACTGGACAGATTCCTACTTCGTCACTCGTTACTCGAGTTTACTCAATTCACTTTAGCGCGTTTTCTTCGTATATATCGGATGACCAGAGCAATCTTAGTCACGAACCGCAAGAGACGACAGATTTTTGAAGCTGAAGTCTTGGGAAATTCTTTTACAAAAGACACAAGATACCGATCTTGGTACCAATATCTCGAACCGATGATCACGCACTTTTATTCCGATAACAAGCGAGAAGGACCGAGACGATTTTCCAAAAAAATGAATATCTCGATGTGAAAAAGAAATTCCAGATCGAAAATGAGGGTCGATCCTAAACAGCACGACTTCCTTCCCTGAGTATCCGGCGTGACTAACCGAGGCGGTCTTCGGACCAGACGCGACAGATCCGAAAGTCTCTCGAAGTCGGGGAAGATGTGTCTCGTGTAGTGTATCGTTCTCTCCGCCACATGGCATCGTCCTCCTTCTCGGGCCTCGCCGAAAGGGAGACGCGAGTAGGAATATTTTACATGCGTTTACATACGTGTGTGCGTGCCAGTCGCGGCAGTCACACCCCGTGATGACTATTTTTAAGAACGTCCGGCCAATTGCGACCGACGAAAATCGTCTTCGGATCCGCCCCTCGGACTGTCATAGATACGTGATTTTGGCAGGGACTCATCGCGGGGTGTGGTTTAATCATTAATGAGAGTTGGATCCTCTCGGGATCCTCAGGATGGAGAGCGACTCGTGAAAAACTTCGGGGGATCCGAGAGAGCGGATGATAACCTGAAGAAGAAACGTAATCAAGACTGATTGTGAGAATTATGATCGCGGTCATTGTGATGCAGATTTCTTCTCTTTTTTCCCGAACGATAGACATCACTATTGTGCCAACTATTGTGTTTATACATATACTAAAAAGCAGCATCCAAAAGTGATTTCTTCATAAATAAACGTGTATTCAATCTTTTACAATACATTATTCGAAATATTCTCTGTGAAATAGAAGACAAAATAGAAATCATTGATCAATGATGGTGTCGTATTATTTTAATGTTCGAAAAATTATGAAAAAATATAATTAAAATTCCTAGATTGTATATTTTTTTGAGTCTTGAAATTCAAAAGAGGAGTTTGATCTAAAAAGATGTTTTACATTTTCGATCAGTTATTTTGTATTATATAAATTTTCGTCTAAAAATCATTAGATCTAGGGATTCGATTTAATTATTCTCTGATTGAACTGTGTCGGTCGTATTTTATTCGATGAGATGGTGTATATTTCTGCGGCTCGCCACAGCAGTTCCAGTTATTCGGGAATACTTAACTGAGAAATGCACAGGTTTACAGTCGAACACGCTAACAAAAAGAGACGTTCATTACGGTGGGTCGTGGTTTTTGACAGATATTCCAATACGCGTTCGATAGTCGGTCCGATTTGCGGTCCGATTGGAGAGAGCAGGAGCTATCACTTCTGTACACATACAGGGTGTTTCATGTAAACGTGATTAAATTTACGGAACGCAGGATATGCTCCAAAACCATGTTCTTTTAACGATGGACATATCAAGGAAAATTATCATTTGTCTCAAAGTTTAATTTTTTCCATCATATATCTTCATAATTAATTAAGAAATTCTGAAATTAAAATTCTATTAAACTAAATTCAATGTGTAATTAATCGAGAAAGTTTTGTCTCCACGACTTCGCAAAGTTTACTTTACGGAAAGCCGTATATATATTCAGCCATATTTCCTCCTCTATCATTTATAATCGCGCGAAAATCGCCGAGGAGAAAAAAATTCCAAATTAATCGAGGAATCTGGCCGTCGTGGAAAAGCCATCCAAGGATTTTTGGAACGCTTTATATAAATATATAGAGGGAGACGCGCCCATATAGAGAGGGAGAATCGCTACCGATTCTCGGCGCTGGTTACGCGGATACGTAAACTTTATGTAAATCCAGCGCCGTCTGTCACATTTTATGCTCCGCTTTCACAGGAATTAAAATAGACTATTGAGCGTCGAATAAAAGCTAAAATTACCCCCTGGCAGCGATCCAGACGTATGGAGATAGAAAACCGGGTAAAGTTTTAGCCTACCGACACGTTTTCCCCGAAATACCGATCGCCGCGAAGCGATAAATCCGCTTCTGCGGAGGACTACGCGGAAATTAAGGGTGGCTCTTCGTTAAGGGAGGACCAATCTTCGTTCTCTTCGCGACGGAGCAACGATCGAACGTCTAATCACGCGAGCCACGAACGCTCGTTTACGTTCGAGAATCTCACACAAAGTCGCAATTAAGGGTTGTAACAAAAGGAGCAGTTTTCGATAACCGCGCTGTTGTAGAAGATCAAAGTTTTTTCAATTAAGTACAGCGAGAAGAAAAGAAGGAAATCTGTAAGGTAATAGTATATTGTGTATCAAGTGCGGAAAGTTGACAATTGATCACGAGTGCGGGGGATGGACGCACGAGCCGAAGGCGAGTAGCCGTAGGCAATGGCTTTGAATGCGGCTCATTCACTCACCGCGTCGCCGCTAGATGGCGGCGTGGGAAATCGGCCGCTTTCTGCACAGAAAACACGCACACAAAGTGCCACTTTGCCTGCACGTGTAATACAAAATGATATATACGTATGTATTTGGAATATTATTTGGACAATTGTCTTTCCACGATTTTAGAATTGAAAAAGTTCAATGGAACAATCTCGGCATTGCAGCGAAATATCGATTGTCCAAACACCCTTGTTTGTAATCATCCAATAATTATTGTACTATGCTAGAAATCCAATGATTAATATACTATATTGACTATTGATTAATACATTATTGAAAATTCCAGTCTCCATTTCTCTCTCGGGCAATCGCCCTATATATATATATATATATATATATGTGTAATATGTAATGTTTGACGTTCAATATATTAATGTTTAATGTTAAATGTACAGCTTTATTTCGAAAGTTCCTTCTACTTCGATTGCTCGTGTAGAATCGGAGCGTTCGATCGATTTACGATTAAAATTCCGATTGAAAGATGCTAAACTGAAGCGGGATTAAATCGTATGCGGAAAAATTCGCGGGAGTATATATATTTTCCATGAAAAGTCTCTCGCGCGCGTTTGAAAACTGCACAAAGGTGCGCGCACGTCAAAGTGCACACACCAGTATATAATGGATATCGCGCGTCTCTCTCTCTCTCTCTCTCTCTCTCTCTAGTAAAGAAAACCAACACAGACCCACACGAAATAGCCTGCACACATTCGCGCGCGACACGGACTTCTATTAAAATCCCATCCGAGCAATTCCGCAGTCCCGGTACCTGTCAGAGGAGACAAGGCCAATTATCGTTAAAAGCGGTTATTATCGGACGTTAGAGAAATCCGCGAGATGAGAGTGCCCCATCCCTTCTTCCTACTCATCTTCACCCTCCTACGTTTCAAAAACGACTATATATATATATATATATATATATATATCTCAGGATGTAAAGACGCGACCTTCCACTCTCTCGCGCCCTTAAGCAATCGCGTGAAAGTCCGGAGGCTCCGGACTTCATTTTTCATTCCTTATTCAATGGTACAAACTCGAAGACCTACATGGGAGAACTCGCGCATTCCCGCATACCGTACAAATACATACACGTACACATCCACATATATACGCAGCCGAGACGCGCATTCGCAAACACGAGGGGGTAGTTCTCCCTTTCGCACCCTTTCATCGTGGAAGCTCGGGACGGCTCGGATGTGCTCGTCTCTCGCGCCGGGGTCGAGAAGAGGAAGAGAAGGAGCGAAGGAGAGGGGTGGGGGGAGGGGAGGGAGGGAGGGAAACGGGAGAGGATCCGCGAGATCGCGCGAAGAGTACAACCCTTAGGAGCGAGACGCAAAACGGGTCACTCTCTCGCCTCCTTTCAGGATTCGGCGGCTGGCTGGGATACCTACATCTGCCAAAGTTCACGGGAGGGCAATGCCTCGCCCACTTTTACGGGGGCATCATCGTCGGAGCGATGTCTTTGTGCCGTGCGGCCCGCCTTTTTACCCAAGCGCGCGGATTTTTGTTTTTCGAACCAATTTTCCGGCATCTTTGAAAGCTCGAGCGAGAGCCGGCAGAAGTAGTGGTAGGTAAAGTGAAAAATGTCAGTAAATTTTGTTAGCGAGTGGAAAGTTGGTAGAAGAAGGACGAAGACTTAAAAGTGTTTCGAAGTTTCTCTTTCTCTCATAAAAAAAAAAAAAAAGTAAATTTTTTTTTGTCAAAATTTTAAGGTACATTTGTGAAAGTGTATTTCAATATCTGAGAAATATCGTTATTATTATAAAAAATATGGATCTTAATATTCGAATTTTTGAAATAAATTTTATTTTTCTTTCAATTTGTCGTTATTTTCTAATTAATATACAACATGATACAATAATCCGGTAAAAAATTGTTTATATAAAATTATACATATAATAGCAAAATTATATATAAAATATGTCCATACATAATTAAATAAAAATGCTTTTCTTATATATAATTATGTAAATTTATAAATAATAAATAAATATTTCTTCATATATAATTTGACATGATTATATATGAATCCTAATATATTTATGTATATAAAAAGACATATTTCACATATAATTTGACGATTACATGTATATAAATATATAATTATTGATAATTCTATATAACATTTTTTCCGGGAATATAATCTATTTTTTGTCAAAATTTTAAGGTACATTTGTGTGAAAGTGTATTTCAATATCTGAGAAATATCGTTATTATTATAAAAAATATGGATCTTAATATTCGAATTTTTGAAATAAATTTTATTTTTCTTTCAATTTGTCGTTATTTTCTAATTAATATACAACATGATACAATAACCCGGTAAAAAATTGTTTATATAAAATTATACATATAATAGCAAAATTATATATAAAATATGTCCATACATAATTAGATAAAAATGCTTTTCTTATATATAATTATGTAAATTTATATATAATAAATAAATATTTCTTCATATATAATTTGACATGATTATATATGAATCCTAATATATTTATGTATATAAAAAGACATATTTCACATATAATTTGACGATTACATGTATATAAATATATAATTATTGATAATTATATATAACATTTTTTCCGGGAATATAATCTATTTTTTGTCAAAATTTTAAGGTACATTTGTGTGAAAGTGTATTTCAATATCTGAGAAATATCGTTATTATTATAAAAAATATGGATCTTAATATTCGAATTTTTGAAATAAATTTTATTTTTCTTTCAATTTGTCGTTACTTTCTAATTAATATACAATATGATACAATAACCCGGTAAAAAATTGTTTATATAAAATTATACATATAATAGCAAAATTATATATGAAATATGTTCATACATAATTAGATAAAAATGCTTTTTTTATATATAATTATGTAAATTTATATATAATAAATAAATATTTCTTCATATATAATTTGACATGATTAT